CTTTTTCCTTTGGCCCTGTCAACCACCAGAATATGCCCCTCCAGGACAACATTTCTAAAACTAAGTTTGGCCCTCTGGTTGATAAATGGGAGGTGTGATGGAACTTCAGAAGTCCTAGCTACTTTTGTTAGGCTGTCTCACCCAGTTTGATAACAGTCACTTATTTGTTAGTTTTACGAGAGTGGAGCTTAAGAAAACCCTTCCTGGTTTGAATCAGTAAGTTTGTCCCATCCTTTTGCCCAGGGAAAGAGAGCCATCTTTAGTTCAAGATGGTTACCATCAGGGCATTTTGGAAGCAAGCCATGTCTGTAGTTGGTCCCAGTGAGATCCAGGCTTGGACAAGCAATTCGAGCCAATAACTAATCTGGGAACTCATCTAGCTATACTGACCTACCTCTCGTCAGTGACCATCTGTGGAGTTTGTGCATAGTGTTTGAGGACCAGGACATCCGTAGGGATACCAAGGTGCTTGTTTATAAAGCTATTGTCCTCCCAACCCTGCTATATGCCTGTGAGACGTGGACTGTCTACAGACGTCACATGCAACTCCTGGAACGATTCCCATGAGCGTTGCCTCCAGAAAATCCTGCCAATCTTTTGGGAGGACAATCGGGCAAATGTCAGCGTGCTGGAAGAAGCAAAGATCACCAGCACTGAAGCAATGGTCCTCTGCCATCAACTCCGCTGGACTGGCCACGTTGTCTGGATGCCTGACCACCATCTCCCAAAGCAGTTGCTCTACTCCAAACTCAAGAACGAAAAATGGAGTGTTGGTGGGCAGGAAAAGAGATTTAAAGATAGGCTCAAAGCCAACCTTAAAAACTCTGGCATAGACACTGAGAACTGGGAAGCCCTGGCCCTTGTGCGCTCCAGCTGGAGGTCAGCTGTGACCAGCAGTGCTGTAGAGGCATGAATGGAGGGCGAAAGAGAGAAACATGCCAAGAGGAAGGTGCGTCAAACTAACCCCGACTGGGACTGCCTTCCACCTGGAAACCAATACCCTCACTGCGGGAGAACATGCAGATCAAGAATAGGGCTCCACAGTCACCTACGGACCCACCGCCAGTACACCAATCTTGGAAGACAATCCTACTCAGACAACAAGGGATTGCCTAAGTAGGTAAGTAATGGAGTTTCCAGCACCTTCAGTGAGGTGCGAGGCCTCAATAGAAGGGATTTCCTCTCTCAGTCTCTGGCCTGACCACCTGAAGCATTGGACGTCCCAGAGGCCACTCTACCAGAGAAAGTGAGCAAGGGAAACTTCCATCTGCTCTTCGTCTCCGGAATTATCCTCAGCCATCAATCAGTTACCTTCAAAAGTATGGACTTTGTTGTGGGGAAATCAAGATAGTGCTTGGGTGGAGATAGGCCCAAGACCAATTAATAAATCATTATTGTTTCTTGAAAGCAATAACATAGACATGGATTCTGTAGGGTTCCTTGCTCAAACAGGAAGGCAATCCAGCATCCCTGAAGCTGATAAAAAGTCAGGACACATTAACACTAAAACATTTAAAGCAGCCTGGGTGCGACAACACAGGTGGTGTCTCTTTTTTCTGGTAGTAAGCATAACTTTTCTGTCTTAAAAATCTATCTCTCTAGGCTTTGTCCTTGGTAAGTCTTGTTGAGCTCTACTATGATGGAAAGACCCAGAGAACTTCTCAAACATTAGCTGGGCAAGAATGGTCCATTGTAATAACAAGTGAGCTCTTAGGATTTTCCTCTGACTTTAGAAGAAGTAGAAGCAGGAAAAAAAATGTTATTTCCATGAATACCAACTTCAGAAAAGAAAACCAGACAGACTTTATTGTGTTTTCATTTTTGTAAAAAAAATCTAATTGTTTTTCATTTTTTAAGGCAAGCATTAGCAGAATGGCACATTTGTGCAGATACTCAATCAAACACAGTTGAGAGACTGGGACTGTGTTGGCTCACTCTTCCTGTGATCTCCACCTACTGGGACAACACATTTGCCTATACTGTACATAACCCACATCATGTAGGGCAAAGCCATTTTTTTGGATTCTGCAGTGGATTTATTGTATGGTATAAGTTAAAGATTTTCCCCTGAAATTAAGTCCAGTTGTGTCCCACTCTGGGTGTTGGTGCTCATCTCCATTTCCAAGCCAAAGAGCCAGCGTTGTCCATAGACACCTCCAAGGTCATGTGGCCAGAATGACTGCATGGAGTGCTGTTACCTCTCCATCGGAGCAGTACCTATTGATCTACTCACATTTGCATGTTTTCGAACTGCTAGGTCGGCAGAAGCTGGGGCTGACAGCGGAAGCTCACACCGCTCCCCGGATTTCAACCTGTGACCTTTTGGACAATAAGTTTAGCAGCTCAGCGGTTTGACCAACTGTGCCACCAGGGGCTCCATTGTATGATATACTACAGGCTTTATGCACATAGATGTTTACGCAAATGTAAAGTCAAGTTAGAGGGATCCAGGAAAAAGACTGACGAGCTAACATAGTCCTGATAACACAACTAGTGTATAGTGCTGTACTTAAAACCAATTTCAAGCACAAGCATACCCCTTCATTGTTCAAAATCATCAAGTTTGAGGTAAGAGTATTTAAACATCATTAAAACTGCAGGAAAAAATCTAGATCACGAATCACAGGAATTTTACAATGGAGAAAATGTATAGAAGTTTTACCTACATCCCAATCTAAGTATTTCCCCAGCAGTAAACCCAGCCACCTGTTGCCTAATCATTACATTTCTGTTTGCCGATTTAGAGTGTGCATATCTAACTCATAGTAAAGCAAGAGGATGCAAATGTCCAAGGAGTGCTATTAAAGTGTTTGCTATCAGCCTACCTTCCTACAACATGAAAGGTTTCCTTCACCATCACCTTTTCTTAGGGCCCTTCCACACAGCCCTCTATCCCAGAATATCAAGGCAGAAAATCCCACATTATCTGAGTGTGGACTCTGATAACCCAGTTCAATGCAGATATTGTGGGATTTTCTGCCTTGATATTCTGGGATAGAGGGATGTGTGGAAGGGCCCTGAGTCTTAGTTTCACAACAGTCTCCCACACTTTGGGATAGTTAAAACCGGAGCCATGTATTTTAAAGAGCAATACATGGTGTGCCAAAAGTCATGCTCCACTGACAATGTATTATATAAATTAAATGTTCACAGTGGCTGCCATTTTTTCCTAAACATTTTCCTTTGGAAAACCCCAAGTAACATTTTCTCACAAAATTCCTACACAATGGCTCCCTTTAGCTCAGTGGTTCTCAACCTATGGGTCACCAGGTGTTTGGGACTCAACTCCCAGAAATCCCAGCCAGTTTACCAGCTGTTAGGATTCCTGGGGTTGAAGGCCAAAACATCTGGGGACCCACAGTTTGATAACCACTGCTTTAGATCATCTAAATGGACTTATGAGGGCATGATTTTTGGCACACCCTGTATGTGGAGGCCTAGATAAGAGCTCCGCAATAACTAGTTGCAAATAAATTATTCATAATGGACTCCTTTCGTCAATAATGAAGACATTAAATTTCTACTACAACTTGACAAGTGATAGCATCGTTCTTTGCACTGCAACAATAACTTTTGGGCAATTTTATAGTAATGTGGTGTGTGGCCTAACTGTTTTTCAAAGTTATTGAACATGATCCTAGAAATAGTGACCCTTTTTAAATAGCAGCAACATCAACTGCTTTTATGGTCCTTGTAATTACAACTGCTTTTTAAAAACCACTTTCTAAGCTTGTGTCTGGAAGCACTGCTTATAATACTGACCACGTATATAGCCCTTTGATAATTTGATGTTCAGCTTGCATGCATTTTCTTTTTAGCCAAATACCAATGGAGATGGGAAACAAGAACTTGAAAACTGAATAGCGGAGATGTAGAAGTTTGTCCAAAAGAAGCACAAGTCCCAAGGTTCATTTCCAACTGGCACAAGCAGTCCCTTAACTTTCATCTATCCCAGAGTCGAAGTGGCACAATGGGTTAAACCAGGGGTCCTCATCTAAGACCCAGGGGCTGGATACGGCCCTCCAAAGTCATTTACCCGGCCCTCACTCTGGGTCAACCTAAGTCTGAAACAACTTGAAAGCACACAAAAACAACAACAATTCTATCAGCCAAAACAGGCCCACACTTCCTACTGAAATACTAATAAGTGTGTGTCAAAATTGTTCTTCATTTCAATTATTGTATTGTTTTAAAGTGTTTTTTGCACTACAAATAAGATATGTGCAGTGTATAAAGGAATTCATTCATTTTTTTTTTCCAAATTATAATCTGGCCCTCCAACAGTTTGAGGGATTGTGACCTAGCCCTCTGTTTACTCTGGTTAAACCCTTGTGCTGGCTGGACTACTGATCTGAAGGTTGAGTTGCTGACCTGAAGGTTGTCGGTTCAAATCCGTGAGCCACAGTGAGCTCCTGTCAGTCAGCTCTAGCTTGTGGGGACATGAGAGAAGCCTCCCAGCAGGATGGTAACACATCCTGGCATTTCCTGGACAATTGCTCAGTAGATGGCCAATTCTCTCACACCAGAAGCGACTTGCAGGATGTTCTCAAGTCATGTCTGACACGATAAAAAAAATATCCTGATGCTTATCTTTATTTGAGCTGAATTGAACGCTAGAAACTCAAAAGAGTACATAATGCCCAGTGTAGAGGCAATCACTATTTCACCTCTTCTATCTCAACAAAGGCAGCCATTGCAAAGTAGTTAGGAAATATGCAGCCTGAAGGACTATACATTCAACGCTTGATGTGTGCGGGTTTGACTTTTGTGGATGTGATTAACATGTTCTCACTAGGAACCTCCATTGTGAAATTTTGGTCAATTGTTTCCAGTCATGTTGAAAGGCTTAGAGGTGTCTAGGTAACAACTTTATAGGAATTTCTAGGTTTTCCGATAAGAGTCTATGATCTGCTTCTGCTAGAAATTGATAATGGAGTCATATTGGAAAATCCAAAAATTCCTCGAAAAGTGTTCCTTCAGGTAAAAAAAAAATACAGCAATTTCTTTCTTTGTGGTTGTTTACTTTCACGTGGGTCCATGTGCCCCTAAACCCACTGAATGTGAAGGGCTGACTGTTTAGGATTTTTCATCAATAAAGGCAACCTGATGCTCCTAAAAGAAATGCAACCTTGCTCACCTGCAATGAAAGTCCCTTGTTCAAAAAGACCAAAGGACTTTCATTGCAAGTGAGCAAGATTGCATTTCTGTATTAGCACTTTTTTCTGCCAGGAAGAGACGGCCCAGCATCAATCACTTTTCAAGCTTCTTTGTGCCTTAGCACAACCATTTCCATATATGGCTGCATCATTTTCCATACAACCCCCTTTCCCATACAGTTGTGCCTAGCATTTCACTTTTTTCACATGATTTTCAATGGCATCTTCGACGATGGTTTCGTCTTCCTCAACAGTCACCTTGACTTTCTTTCCAACCAAGTCAAAGATGTCTTCTGGAGGGTATCCTTTGGGTTCCCCCACTTTGACCGTCAGCATGTCCAGAGTGAGCACTGTGCCTTCTGGGATCCGGACTTTGGCGATTACAGATTTTCCCAACTAGAGAAAGAAAAGATCAAGGTTAGATCAAAGAGTGGTAGTCCTGTCCTATAGAGGCCACAAACAGTTCCTGGGAATCAAGATAGACCTGAATAGTAGAGAAAGACCTGTATGTTTACAGTATGGGGAAACACATGGCCTCCAGATATTGCTGTGCTTCCCATCATTTTACTGATAGCTATTTGGGTTAGGAATGATGCAAGATGCAATTTAAGATCTGGTCGGCCTCATTTTTTTAGTGAATCTTTCTTCCTCCAAGGCAAAGCAGTTTAAAGAAATAAACAAACATATTTCAGAAGTAAGGCAGTTTATTTATTTTTTTAAAACCCAGAAACTAGAGAATCGGGGAGATTTTTTTCACCACATTAGATGCATCCCTTTTAATTTATTTAATTAATTTGTTTGTTTGTTTGTTTGTTTACCGTATTTACATACCGCCTTGCTCAGCCCGAAGGCGACTTAAGGCGGTTTACAATCGGCACAATTCGATGCCCACAACAACATAAAATACAATTTAAAAATATTCAGCAAATAATATAAAAACCATATAAAACCGATAAAAATCCTTACTAAAAAGGGATTCAAAATGTGACTATTAATGCAATGAAATATGGTACTTTTGCCTCTTGAAATGCAGAACACAGATCCTGCTGCCAAATGCAGAGTACAAGCTTGAGCACTTGGATGAGCAAAAATACTGAGTTATGCTACCTACATTCTTTATAGCCTGAATATCTCCTATGAGCTCATGATGGCATGCAATACACGGGATTCCCATGTGGACTTCCATTCAGGCACTGATTCCCACCTTCTTATCATTTATTTTCAAACCATTCTCTGGAACCAGATGCCTAAAATACTGGAATGGTCCATCAACTGACTAAGGGTAGGTCTACTGCTTATTTAAAGTGGCAGGCGCATGCCTATGGAGGTTATTGCCATCAGAGAAAGGCCTTCATATGCATGTGTCTGCCACTTTAAGGCAGCAGGAAGAGACAACTTAATTCATCATAAATGGTCCACAAGAGCCGTTACCTTCTCATTGCAGGCAACTTCACAGGGCAAGAGCTGCTTGACTGTTGACCCCATAGCCTTCTCCACCATGCGGATGCTTTTCACAAGCTCTGCCAGTTCACTGGGCTCCAGGGAGGCCTGATGATCGCTTCCTTTCCAGGTCTTGTCCAGAGTAATGTGGCGCTCCAGCACTTTAGCTCCCATTGCCACTGCTGCAACAGAAATAGCTATGCCTGTCTCATGGCCCGAATAGCCAATAGGAATATCTGGGAAGACTGACTGGTATTTCTAAAGAGAGGGAAGAGTGGAAAAAGGTGACAACGGATTGCCACTTTATTGACAAATAAGAGAGAAAACAGCTGTTACAGCACAACACGAAATGGTTCTGTTGCGTTTATTATTCACTTTAATCATCCTACTGTCCCGACTTGAAACTTTTGCAAACCCAATGGGGGAAGAATAAAGAACTACGGGCAAAACTGAAGGCTCTTGTCTGAATATTATTGGTTGACATACATTAACAGTTGCACTTTTTCTGAGGTCAAGCAAAAGTGATGAGCACAAGCAGGTGCAACCATCTTACTTCCATGATGTCTGATGTGCTTGTGGGTCTATTCCTCTGGCTACCAGTACATGGGCAGGATGTCAGCCTGTGTTGACTATTAGGGGGACTAGTCCAGCTTCCCTTGATTTTTGTTTATTTTTTTTTCTGTTTTCCTTCAGAAATAGAGTCTCAAGGCAATAAGCACAAACAATGCTAATTAAAACAATAAAAGGTAAATGTTTCCCCTTGACATTAAGTCTAGTTGTGTCCAGTTCTGGGTGGTGGTACTCATCTCCATTTCTATGCCAAGGAGCCGGCCTTGTCCGTAGATGCCTTCAAGGTCATGTGGCTGGCATGACTGCATGGAGCACTGTTACCTTCCTGTGGAAAATGTCTTGAGTCACCTCCGGGTTGAGAGGGACGGTATATAAATATAATAAATAAATAAATACCTATTGATCTACTCCCATTTGCATGTTTTCAAACTGTTAGGTTGGCAGAAGCTGGGGCTAACAGCGGGAGCTCACCCCGCTCCCCAGATTCAAACCGCCGACCTTTAGGTCAGCAAGTTCAGCAGCACAGTGGTTTAACCCATTGTGTCAGCGCGGGCTCCTAATTAAAATAATATGAATATACATTTTATATTTACATTTTAATGTACTCAGTTAAAACAAAATGAGTACATTGAAACACAAATGTAAAACTTTAAAAACAATAAATCACTTAAAATTATTGAAACCATTACATTACAATTCCAAAACAACTCCAAAATCCCAATCGTAACATCCCAAGGCCATCTTGGTCTCTCTTGGGAGGGAGTTCCAGAGTTGGGAGCAGCCACCAAAAAGGTCATGTTACCTCCGAAGGAGCCTTAGACAGTGGTGAGACAGAGAGGAACTTGCTTCAGGAAAACTTAATGTTCTGATAGTTTCAGAAAAAGAGATATGGTCCTTATATGTGTTGCTTAATAAGAGAAAGCAGAAACAAGGGCATTAGCGTAGGGCAACTGCTACAATGTCCCCGTCCTTCACTGACCGTTATGATACGAAGGTTGACGTCTTCAGGATGAAGAGGGTAAGCACTTGTGCATTGCAGGAAACAGAAGTTTGGGTTGATGGGCTTCACCAGATTGTAAACTTGCTGCATTGTGCTCATGGACTGCATCCCACTGGAAATCACCATTGGGCGGCCTAGAAGGGAAAACCAACACTATCTTCAGTTTTTCTAAGATAGCAATAATTAATTCTCTGCCAAGTGAACTTCCAACAAATATCCCTACCACTGTCATCACCACCAGCAGAACGCAGAGTGAGGCAGAAACACAAAGCATATTACACTATGTAACAAAATTTGAAAAATATTATTTTCCTGTTTTGAAAGTGTCACTCCTGCTTAATTGTGCAGTGTTCAATTTGAAAGTAGTTGTTCTACTCCAGGAACTTCATTTTATGGCTGCCACAAACTATGTTGAATTGGTTGAGATTCGATGAGATAGTCATTGAAAAACTATAGCAAAATGTGTCGCAGGATGTCCCTCAAAACCAAAGTTTTTGCAGTTCAATACACTTTTTCCATGTTTTTTTATGATAGAACCAATTAGGAAATGATATTTATAACCCAGGAACAAAAATCATGTTAAGTCTATACACATAATAAAAGTGAAAATATGTATGTGTGTAGCTGGGGTGCTCACTTACACAAGCTCTTACCTCCACAAACTGCTATAACCCCCGCTATTACCAATGGTCCTCCCTCCAATGACAATGCAGTTTATAGCAAGCATCATGAACATGTACAAAAGTCCTGCCAATGTCCTCCACAAACACAATACTATCCACCACCCAAGTGAAGGCTTTCATATGGGGACAAGTTTTTGTTTTTCCTCCATCACAGACATCCCAGTGTTTCTTACTCTCTCCATTGGTGTGGAATTTGCATGACCCCACCCACCACTTCTCCCTTAACCCTTTCCTATTTTTTTATGGTATACAGCAAACAGAGGAATTGATCAGCAACTGAACATACTAGAGAGGTTTGGGGAGAATTCATCATGATTTATAGGAGTCGTAGGTACTGCGATGTATAGTTCACTTGGAATCTAAGAGCACTCTGAACTCCATCAATGATGGACCTGGAACTAACTTGGTACCCCCATCACCAGCAAAAAATACTGGAGGGTTTTGGAGGGATTTATAGGATGTAGTTCACCTAAATCAAGAGCTCACTATGAACCCAACAATGATGGATCTGGACCAAACTTGGCATGCATACCTGATATGCCCAAATTTGAATATTGTTGGGTTTTGAGGGGAATTCGCCTGGACAATTTGGAGTTGTAGATACTGTGATTTAAAGTTCACCTGCAATTAATGAACACTCTGAACTCCACCAAAGATGGAATTGGACCAAACTTGGCACAAACAGGCCCCATGACCAGAAAAATACTGGAGCTCTTTGGGGAAAATTCACCTTGATCTGTGGGAGTTATAGTTCATGTACATCTAGAAAGCATTGTAAACCCAAACACTGATGTATCTGGACCAAACTTGGCAAACATACCCGATATGCCGAAATCTGATTACTGGAGGGGCTTGTGAGAACTGACCTTCCTTTCTGGGAGTTGTAGTTCACCCACAACAAGAGAAACCGAGACCTCCACTGATGATGGACCTGAACCAAACTTGGCTACTGGAGGGGTTTGCGGGGACTGACTCACCATAGTGGGAGTCGTAGTTTACCCTACAGCCAGAGAGAACACTGAACCCCACCAATGATGCATCTAGAGCAAACTTGCCCAACATAATAAACTTTAAGTACTGATGAAGTTTCTTGGGGTTAACCTGGCATGATGTGAGTTATAGTTCTCACTCAACCTTATGCATTTTGTACATTCTTTTCAAATAACCTGGGCAATGCCAGGTACCCAAATTAGTAGTGTTATAATTAAATATCAGGATTTGGGGAAGCTAGCAGAATTTTTGGTGGTGGCTTTCCATTTATACTGTCAGACTTATTTTGATCTCAGTACAGGAAATGGAGAGTTATTCTTCAAGTACAGTAACTTGTTTTACTCCTCTGTAACTAAATGAGGTATCTGTGTTAATCAGAGTTGCAACACTCGGTAATAATAATTCATTCTTCCCTTAAAGGTACCTTTTTTAGCTGTCTTTTCCAAGTATGGGAAATTGTTAGTGTCTCCAGATCCTACTTTAAAAAATGGAACATCCAGTTCATGTAGAAATTCCACAGCCATCTGTGAAAAGAAGTGGTTTTTTTAATTAAACTTCCAAATTAACATTCAATTCACCTGTAAATTTAATAATCACACACAATAGTTTTCAATGCCAATTCTCCCACTGTAAATATAAATAGTGTAAAGAAAATGTGTAACCCAGTTCAAAGCAGATATTGTGGGATTTTCTGCCTTGATATTCTGGGTTATATGGCTGTGTGGAAGGGCCCTTAGATAATAGGGCTGGGCGGTTTCGTTCGTTAATTTTGTAATTCGTTATTGATTCGTATTTAAATTAGCTTACGATCCGATATTGAGCCATGCAGGAGCAACTAAAAATCGAAACGAATTTTTCAATTCGTTTCGTAATTGTTTCGTAATCGTTTCGAAATCGTTTCGTTATTATTTCCGCATGTCTGGTGCAAGTTTTATAGTTGTTGTTTGTTTTATCAGTGATAAAAAATAAATTATCACACCAACAGTCAACAACAGAGGGAGAGGGAAGCTTCAGAAGTTCCCCCTGTCCCATTTGGAGGTTTTTTTAGCGTATTGCGCAATCGCGTCCGCCATTAACGAATCAATTCGAAATTTACGAAATTTCGTAAATAACTAAATTTTTTTAAAGAAAAATTCGGAATTCTTTAAAAAACGAAACGCAATGGACCCCCTAAAAACGAAACGAGTTTAGAAACAAATTTTTCCGTTGTTACCCAGCCCTACTCTCTCTCACCCTTCCAGGATTCAGCCATTATTATTCTAGCTGTGACAAAACTATATTGACAAATTTCTTTATTTTTTTATTTTATTTTATTTTATTTGTTGTGTCAGAAGCAACTTGAGAAAATGCAAGTCGCTTCTAGTGTGAGAGAATTGACCGTCTGCAAGGACGTTGCCCAGGGGACGCCCGGATGTTTTGTTATTTTTACCATCCTTGTGGGAGGCTTCTCTCATGTCCCTGCATGAGGAGCTGGAGCTGATAGAGGGAGCTCATCCGCACTCTCCCCAGATTCGACCCTGTGACAGTCCTGCTGACACAGGGGTTTAACCCACTGTTCCACCAGGGGCTCCTTTATTTCTTTATTACCTTGTCTAATTCCCTGTGCAAATAACCCCAAAAGGCATATTCCTGGATTACAGGAGTTAACAGCAACCACATCATTGAGGAGCAAATACTTTTAAGATATCTAGAGGTTGGTGAGGCACGTGGCATTTTAGTACAACTCCTGTATCTATAGAATCAATGTTTGCTAGTTTATTTATTCACATTTGATAAAATAAATCTTCCCTATGATATTTTTAGGTTCCCCAGCATGACACTATGGTATTCTTGGGCTGGAAGGCTTTCATTTCAATAAGGTTTACTATTGCCCACATTTTCTTGGAGCCATGCAAAGTCAGGAATGTATCCCCTGCAGATACAGGGGTTGTACTGTGCTTAGAAGAACAGTCTGTCTATGAGGTGCTGTGTGACAGAGCCTCGATCTCACTTACTTCATCCATGCCTGAGGCTGTAAAGAAAATGCCAATCTCCTTGGCATAGCGCTGGAGTTCCCGGTACTGGTCATGGCTGAACTCCAAGTGGCGCTTGTGCTCTCCATAGGTTTTCCCCCACGAGTGTTTGGACGTGTACGGCCTCTCCAAGGCCTTCCTGTTGAATTTGTGTTCGAGCTCACTTTTTTGGAACTTGGCACAATCTGCTCCACATTCCTGTCGAGAAAAAAATACACTGTAAGACTATCACAAGGCTATATCATCACATGGCCCGTTCATCCTCCACCATTGGACTTATCTGAGGGCCCTTCCACACAGCCCTATATCCCAGAATATCAAGGCAGAAAATCCCACAATATTTGCTTAGAACTGGGTTATCTGAGTCCACACTCATATAATGTGGGATTTCCTGCCTTGATATTCTGGGATATAGGGCTGTGTGGAAGAAATTTGCTAAATTCAGTGCAAGGTATTCAAAAGCAATATTGTCAATGGCTCTTTTACAAAATTGCGTATTTCTACCATTAAATCCATGTCTGCATACGCCATGGATCTTTTGAAAAATATAATTCAACAACAATTTAAGGGTTCTGGTAACCAGAGTTTTGGGATAGGGATAAAAATCAGGCATCGTCTGCAAGAAAGGGAGGCGTTTCAACTCCTAGGCATGTGCCATTAAACTATGAGCAATCCCAAAACCAGAGTCCTTCAGTCGCAGGGCTTCCTAATAATTCACAATTTTTTCCCATACTTAAAATCTTCCACTCACTAAACGTATTGGCCACTTTTGACCAACCATAGTTTCCATCCAGTACTTTCCCCCTTGAGCTTGGTTTTTGCTATATTTAATCAAGTCCTTCTCTCTCTATTTTCTTTTTAGCAGAAAGCAAAACATGTGATAGATTAATGTTCCTCCAAAGTTCTGGTTTCAAGGCTTTCTTAGTCTGTTCTTTGTTCTTAGACGGCATGAATAAATTGCCTCCTATCCCTGAAGAGCTGCTCTCTAATAATTCTGTCAACCTCACTGGGTTCATTACCCACTCCCATTTTATGTCTTGTGCAACCAATGGTTTTTTTAAAAAAAAATTGTATTATTTACAATTGATTTCATTTACCCAATAAAAGGGCATCATAGAGTCATTTTCTTGAATATTGATGTTAACAATTAGACAAACATATAAGCACAAATTTACAATCTGAGTTTTTTTTTGTGTGTTAGGAGCAATTTGAGAAAATGCAAGTCGCTTCTGGTGTGAGAGAATTGGCCATCTGGAAGGATGTTGGCCAGGGGATGCCAGGAGGTGTTACCATCCTGTGGGAGGCTTCTCTCATGTCCTCACATGAGAAGCTGAAGCTGACAGATAGTTCATTCCACTCCCAGGATTTGAACTGCCGATCTTTCGGTCAGCAGTCCTACCAGCACAAGGGTTTAACACATTGTGCCACTGGTATTGCAATGGTGACTGGTGACTGCACCTTATCCGAGAACTAACCACGGCTGACACATCTTAGCTTCCAAGATCAGACAGGATCTAGTGCAGTGGTTCTCAACCTTGCTAATGCCGTGACCCCTTAATGCAGTTCCATATGTTGTGGTGACCCCCAAAAGTAATATTGTTTTCGTTGCTACTTGATACCTGTGATTTTACTACTGTTATGAACTGTAATGTAAATATCCGATATGCAGGATATATTTTCATTCACTGGACTAAATTGAGCACAAATACCCAATATGCCCAAATGTGAATGCTAGTGGGGTTGGGGGGGGGGGGGGGGAGGATTGATTTTGTAATTTGGGAGTTGTAGTTGCTGGGATTTATAGTTCACCTATAATCAAAGAGCATTCTGAACTCCACCAGCGATGGATTTAAACCGAACTTGGCACCAGAACTCCCATGACCAACAGAAAACACTGGAAGGGTTTGGTGAGCATTGACCTTGAGTTTGGGAGTTGTAGTTCACCTATATCCAGAGGAGTGCTGTGGATTCATGCAACGATGGATCTGGACCAAACTTGGCACGAATACTCCATATGCCCAAATGTGAACACTGGTGGGGTCTTGGGGAAAATAGACCTTGACATTTGGGTAGTTGTTGGGATTTATAGTTCACCTACAATCAAAGAGCATTCTGAACTCGACCAACAATAGAATTGGGTCAAACTTCCCACACAGAATCCCAATGATCAACAGAAAATACGATGTTTTCTGATGGTCTTTGGCGACTCCTTTGACACCCTCTCACGACCCCCTCAGGGGTCCCGACCCACTGATCTAGTGCTTTGAGGGCATACTGGCCAACCCATAGAATCATAGAGTTGGAAGAGACCTCATGGGCCATCGAGACTAACCCCCTGCCAAGAAGCAGGAAAATTCAAAGCACCCCCGAAAGAAAGCCATCCAGCCTCTGTTTAAAAGCCTCCAAAGAAACAGGCTGGATGGCCATTGACTTAATATTTGAGAAGGAAGTTTTGTAGATGCCTTTTTTTTAAACATAGCTTACAGTACCTGGTATCCATGTGGTGGCCTCCCATCCAAATGCTAACCAGGGCTGACCCAGCTTAGCTTCCGAGCTCAGACAGGATCTAGTGCTTTGAGGCATATTGGCCAACCCATAGACGTCATCTTTAACAAGGAAGTTTTGCCGATTCTTTTTTTTTTTTTGGAAACATAACCTACAGCACCTGGTACGCATGTGGTGGCCTTCCATCCAAATACAAACCAGAGCTGACCCAGCTTAGCTTCAGAGATCAGACAGGATCTAGTGCTTTGAGGGCATATTGGCCAACTCATTGTCTTAAGGAAGTTTTGCAATTCCTTTTTTGGGAACAAAGCCTACAACACCTGATATCAGTGTGGTGGCCTCCCATCCAAATACAAACCAGGGCTGACCCAGCCTAGCTTCAGAGATCAGGCAGGATCTAGTGCTTTGAGGGCAAGTTGGCCAACCCACTGACTTAATATTTGATAAGAAAGTTTTGCAGATTCCTTTTTTTTAAATGTAGCCTACAGCACCTGTTATCCGTGTGGTGGTCTCCCATCCAAAAACATACCAGGGCTGACCCAGCTTGGCTTCAGATATCAGACAGGATCTAGTGCTTTGAAGGCATATTGGTCAACCCATTAACTTAATATTTGATAAGGAAGTTTTGCAGATTCCTTTTTTTGGAAACAGCCTACAGCACCTGGTATCCATGAGGTGGCCTCCCATCCAAATACAAACCAGGACTAACCCTGCTTAGCTTTCCAAATCAGAAGGGAGATGTTTAGTTTTACCAATTCCTTCTTCTGAAAGATATACAGCTTATAGTACCTGGTACCCATGTGGTGGCCTCCCATCCAAATACGAACCAGGGCTGGCCCAGCTTAGCTTCCCAAATCAGAAGGGAGATATTTAGAGCTGACACCACTCCATAGCCTCTTCCTTTCCCAAGTAAAGGCCAGGCGTTCCAGCTGCTAGTCAAAAAGACATGGTAAAAGAACAAAGCCCAGGCTCCCATCGTACTGAGCCGTGGCAGTTAATGTGGAGCTAAACTGCATCAATCCCCCAGTGCAGATACGCCCATTGTGCTCCCTCCCAGCAGAAAGAGAAACCAAGCTCTGCTTCCCCACTCTTCCTCCTCCTCCCCGCCCACCTTGGCCACGCGGATCATCTTCTTGGCGATCTCCAGGTCGCCCTGGTGGTTCTGCCCGATCTCGGCGATGATGAAGCAGGGGTGCTCTCCTCCGATGAGCCGCCCGGGGCACAGCTCCATCTCCAGCGGCATCGCGGCCACCCCAAAACCAAGCAGGCTCCAACTGAGACCTCACTGCGCATGCTAAGCACAGAGCGATTTTTTTCCCCACCCGGCGGCTAGAGGGCCAGCGCGCCGTAGCCAATCAGAAGCGACCCAGAGCCGCCCAGCCAATCAACGCCCTGAAGCTTCGAACGTTCGTCTCTGGGACCAGACGGTGGCGCCGTCGCTTTAGTCTTGGCCCAGCTGTCACCGAAAGAGGAAGCGGTGTGTTGGCCTCGCCTTTGGAAATGAGGCCTTTAGGCGCTGCCTAAGCTAACGCCCAGGCTAGAGTTTCGACAGTGTCTCGGCCAATTTTCAGCCTTCCTTTAGGGCGACGTGGCATTTCTCTGTGACTTAAAGGTATATTCTTAGTCAACCCACCTCTTGCTGCCACCTAAACACACACTTTGTTGTCTTCTGGGCAAACATATGGGCTCAATGCTATGTAACCCTGGGAGTTGTAGTTTGGTGAGGCACCAACACTTTGGCAGAGAAGGCCAAGCACTTAATGACATTAAGGGTCCTTCCACAGCCATATAATCCAGAATATCCATATAATCCAGAATATCAAAGCAGATAATCCACAATATCTACTTTGAATTGGATTATCTGAGTCTGCACTGCCATATAATCGTACAAAGCAAATAATCTGGATTTTATATGGCAGTGTAGATGGGCCAAAGAGAAAAAGTGGGAGAAGTGAGGGCCCTTCCACACGGCCTTATCACCCAGGCAGATAGTTCACAATATCTGCTTTGGATTATCTGAGTCTACACTGCCATATCCAGTACGAAGCAAATAATCTGGATTTTATATGGCAGTGTAGATGGGCCAAAGAGGGAATGTGAGGGAAGAAGTGAGGGCCCTTCCACGCAGCGTATAACCCAAAATAAAAAGGCATCCCTCAGTTCTTGTGGGTTTTTTCGGGCTATATGGCCATGTTCTAGAGGCATTTCTCCTGACATTTCGCCTGCATCTATGGCAAGCATCCTCAGAGGTGAGGTCCACAATATCTGCTTTGAATTGGATTATCTGAGTCTACACTGCCATATAATCCAGTACAAAGCAAATAATCTGGATTTTATATGGCAGTGTAGACGGGCCAAAGAGGGAAAGTGGGATAAAAAGTGAAGGCCCTTCCACACAGCCATATAACCCAAAATAAAAAGGCAGATAGTCCACAATATCTGCTTTGAATTGGATTATCTGAGTCGACACTGCCATATAATCCAGTACAAAGCAAGTAATAGTATTTATTTATTTGTCATGTCAGGGCAACCAGTCAATTATATTACATTTCTAACAGCACAAAGCAAACAAACAGACAAAATACGAAATTTATGAGTTTGGTAGTTGATTAAATGTCCTTTGACCAGTATCTGGCCACTTGGAGTGCTTCTGGTGTTGCTGCAAGAAGGTCCTCCATTGTGCATGTGGCAGGGCTCAGGTTGCATTGCAGCAGGTGGTCAGTGGCTTGCTCCTCTCCACATATGCCAGTGTAGATGGGCCAAAGAGGGAATTCGATGGAAGAAGTGAGGGCCCTTCCACACAGCTATATAACTCAGAATACTGAGGCAGTTGATCCACAGTATCTGGATTTGAACTGGGTTATTTGAGCCCCTGCTGTCAGCCCCAGCTTCTGCCAACCTAGCAGATAGAAAACATGCAAATGTGAGTAAATCAATAGGTACCGCTCCGGTGGGAAGGTAATGGCGCTCCATGCAGTCATGCCGGCCACATGACCTTGGAGGTGTCTGCGAACAACGCCGGCTCTTCGGCTTAGAAATGGAGATGAGCACCGCACCCTAGAGTCAGACACAACTGGACTTAATGTCAGGGGAAAACCTTTACCTATCTGAGTCCACACTGCCATATACTTCAGTTTGATGTGGATTTTGTAGAGCTGTGTGGAAGGGGCCTTAGTGACACTAAAACTGAGCCAGAGCAGTTCAAAGTGGTGCCAAACTGCTGTGAATTCTCCAGTGTAGATGCACCCAGAGCAGCTAATCAATTTTAGGAGGGGCCTCTCTTCCCCTTAGTCATGTCTAACAGTATATATAACCCAGTGCTTTTTTTCCTGAAGAGGAAGTGCCATTTTTAATTAGATTCATTGTTAGGTCAGAACAAGGCTCTCCCAGTCTTCGAGGCAAAGAGCAAGAGCCCATGCTCTCATTACTTATCATTGTGGCCATGGGACTTTTGGGGGGCATATTAAGCAGTATATTAAGCTGTTCCTCAGGGCAAGGTCCTCCTAAGGCAACTTACAAAAGATAGTTGTATACCTGACAGTGTAATATAGCTTCCTGGTGCACAGCAGGAGCATTAATGTTTGGAATTATTTATGCTACTGGTAAAGTATTCGGTTCCTTTCACACAGCCCTATATCCCAGAATATCAAGGCATAAAACCCCACATTATCTGCTTTGAACTGGGATATATGGCAGTGTGGACTTAGATAACCCAGTTCAAATAAGATATTGTGGGATTTTCTGCCTTGATATTTTGGTTTATATGGCTGTGTGGAAGGGCACTCACTTATCTGAAACACTTGGGAACAGAAATGTGTTAGATTTTCTCTCTCCTGATTTTGAAATACCTGTACATATCAAAATATCTTGGGAGCCAAATCTAAATACGAAATAAATCAATCTACGGTAGATCTTGTACTAGCTACAGTCCCTAGGCTACAGAAAAGATAGGCTGTGTAGATTGGTTCCTACGTTGTAAGTCGTAAAAGGTACATTTTAATATGTAACTCCAGCTACACACACACACACATGTTTTGGATAGCATAGGAAATGGTTAACACCCTTGTGGTGTTTATTTTGCTGTCTATGCTCCTGTTCAGAAGATTTCATCTCACTTTCTGTGATCATTGGATTTTTTTAAAAAAATGTGTCTTGTTGTGGAAACAAGGGTTGATGATAAAGCTTCAGTGGAGACACCTTTCTCCCATGATAAAAACTCTTCCAGGAGTGAATTTCCTTTCAGAGGGGTAGGTTTCTCTCACTTCCTGTTGTCTTGCCCCTGTTCTTAATAGGCTTGTGCACAGATTCAGTTTGGTTGGTTCCCTTTGGCCAATTTGGCTTGTTCGGCAGGCCGTAATGGTAAAGGCTCAGCCGCCTGGTTTTTTCGACCACAACGGGCCATGCGTCAGCCAGTCGCGGCTCCTCCTTCCGTATTAGGCATCACGCAGCGCACAAAGAGGTGTTTCCCTGTGAGCCCTGCCTGTTGGGCCAATCAGAATAGAATTTTTTTCCATTTATCTATGACAAGCCACTTTTACTTAATTTTACTTCCTGTAATGTCCAAGTGAAATCTCCTATTGACTTTCTTTGTCAAGAACACAAGCTTGATGTAACCATATGACGGTGAAGGAACAAACATTACTTAAGAACAGGATTTGCGGCCTAGAACAACAATGACTGTGGCCAGCTATGACAACATGAGATGAATACTAGCTACTAGACAACTGATCAGCTGTCATGGGTGCAGTTATCATTTGGATGATTAATGGCAATTGAACTCCAAAGGGAAATTTATATATGCAAATCTAAGATTCATCTGGAAATAAATTAAACTGAATTCAGTGACATCTCATTGTGAGTCACCCACTCAGCTGCAACAAAAGAACTATTGTTAGACTCTTTGTATGCATTTTATATGCCTTGATATGTGAATCATTATACGATTTACATCTATGATCAAGGAATGAAATGCTACATTACCGTTATTAATGTTGTTTTATAAACGAATAGAAGATTTTATTGGGTGTTATCCATGATGCAAATATTAAAAACACAGGGGCAAAGTGCAGCAGAATTTCAAATGTCTAAGACTGATGACTGATGCCCAGTAACCCATTAGTTAAATCCATATGGAAGACTGTAGTGACATTGTATTGTCGAAGGCTTTCGACAATACATTATTTATTATGTAGTGACATTATTTATTACTTGATACCTGAGGGTAGGGTTGCCAAACTTCTTCATCATCTTCTATTCTGGTGCCTTTCAATAGCAGCCTGATCATTAACAAATGACAAAGTTTTATCTCTGCATCACCTGCTGACCCCTTAAGATTAAGCTGTGTGGAGTTAATGCTACGTTTCTGACAATTGCCATCCCTGCCCGTATGTGATCTTAACAAATTCTTTCTTAGGTTTGATATTGGAAGAGGTCAGTTGGTGGGAACAGTTGTAAAGGAGTGAACCTCACTTCACAAGCAGGCCCGGTTTTCCTTAGAGGAAGAAAATTCTAGCTATCTGTGTCTGGGGGTCCTTCCACACAGCCGTATAACTCAGGATACCAAGACAGAAAATCCCACAATATCTCCTTTGAGCTGAGATATCTGACCACATTGCCATATATCCCAGTTCAAAGCAATGTGGGATTTTATTCAGCTGTGTGGAAGCAGCCTGAGATACAGGCAATTCTATTAGCAAAACTTATATAAGCCATAAACCATGAAGCAACAGTGGAAGATAAACATTTTTCTTGTGATCTGGGATATTCTCCTATAAACTGATAAATTTTGGATTGTACAACCACTAAAATAACAAGGGGAAAAATTGCAAATATCTGTATTTTGCTATACCTTCCTTCACTCACCAATCCAGAAACAAACATTTCATAACACATATTGAGAGAGAGAGAGAGAGAGAAACCTACCAACAATTGATCGAAAAGCAGCTGTTTCATTCCTTCGTTGGAGCTTTTTGTTAGTATTTTTTGTTGATATTTCGGCAACTTTAAGTCTATCTTTTTGCCTTCCCTATGAGAAGAGGAATTTTGTACTCTGAAGATAACCCTTCTTTTGAACCTCTTTCATTTTGACAGCCTGTTGGAACTATAGATGATTTCCCTGCAAACCATCTTGAATAAATTCTGATTTTGTAGGATTTTTAAAAAAGTTTCTATTTCCTTATGAGAATCAAACATTGCTACTACATTTTTAATACTTACACATAGCACCACCAATGGTGCCCCCGATGGTGCAGTGGATTAAACTCTTGTGCCAGCAGGACTGCTGACCAATAGGTCAGCGGTTCAAATCTGGGGAGAGCAGG